CGGTGCCCCAAAAATCCAGTGGCACCGTTCTCCGGTGTCACTAGAACCGGGCCGATATATATATATATGAAAGTATCATACTCGGGTACCCTTAAATTCACACCCAGCCCTGTGCTACCTACACGTAGGTCTCCGCCCACTGTCTATATCCAGTTACCCGTCGTGTAACGGAAGCAGAAAAACGTCAACCACCACCAGTCCTCCTCCACCACCACTTCCTCGGGGGCGCGTGTTTTCGCCTTTCTCCGTCCATACACAAACAGCTAACGCGATACTATACATACAACCCCTCTCCCCCCCTCTCTCTCTGTATATATATCAATCCCTCCATTCTTCTTCACGGAGAGCTCACATACATTTACGATTATAGATACATACGTGACAGGAATTCAGTTTAACTGGATCAAATCGAAGATTCTAACGCACAGTCGCCAGTAATCGGGGTTCCAGGCATCGTTTCTTCGCTCCGGACATCGAAGCTCGTCGGCGAATTGAAATTTGAAAGATCTCCTGGTAAATTTGGATGACTTTCTGCTGCTATTTTGAATTTGAAGCCGTGCGATTTTGGTGAAATTTCCGGGTTAGTGATCTGCGCGGAGATAATTTTTTGCTGAAACTTCAAGTCTTATCCCTCTCTGCCCATCCCTCCGTGCATACCCTGCCTTAAGCTTAAATTTTATGAAGAAATATTTGTCAATCGGGAAGTATTAAGCCATTTGTTACCAGTGAGATCAGTTGCTGTTTGGTTGTGGATGTGATCTTTTTGTTGGACCATCAATTGAAAGTTGAAACCTTTGAACATTGTCCATTTTCCTCGTTATATTTTTAGTGCGTTGCAATTCTAATGTCCGATCTTTTTCCCAACATAGATTCGTTTTTTTACTGTCTCAATTTTCCCAGTTGGGATCATTATAGTTATTGATCTTCATTGTTTTTGAAGTGGCATTCCTTAGGGCTTATCTATCACCATGGCTTATTTTTATCATTCAATAGGTTTAGCTTTGTGGACCTTGAAGTGTAGATCAAGACCAGATGATGAGCGGAAATGGAACACAGAAGCTAACAACAAGTGATGCCCTTGTGTATCTCAAGAATGTGAAGGATATCTTTCATGGAAAAAGAGACAAATATGATGAGTTTCTTGAAGTCATGAAAGATTTCAAAGCACAAAGGTTTTTTACAACATCTATATTGGATTCTTGTAATTCTGCTTTTACTTCCACTGAAAAATGCAATTGGCTCATCTTCGTGTAATACTTGTTGGTGTTAACTTGTTAACAGAATTGACACATCTGGCGTCATAGTAAGAGTGAAGGACCTTTTTAAAGGGCATCAAAACCTAATTTTGGGTTTTAATACATTTTTGCCAAAGGGATATGAGATCACCCTGCAGTCCGAGGATGAACCAAAACCACCTCCAGTGAAAAAGGCAGTTGAATTTGAAGAGGCATTCAGTTTTGTAAACAAGATAAAGGTGAGGATTTACCATTTTAGGCTTTCACATGTAACTTTTCTGTAGGGGTTTCTTCTGAAAAATTTATTTCTCTCAGGCTAGGTTTCAAGGGGATGATTATGTGTATAAATGTTTCCTTGACGTTCTGAATATGTATAGAAAGGAAAACAAATCAATCTCTGAGGTTTTACAAGAGGTATATGCTTTTTGCTTTTTGTCTCTCACATACTTCAGATATGGGACTTTATTATATTTGAGGGCATGGAAAACAAAAATATTTAGATAATCAGATTGGGTTTATAAACCAACGACTTAGAGGTTCCAAGACACAAATAATTTGATAATAACACTTCTTGAATGGAATGCCTAATTGATGATTTTTAATGAAGGATCAAAATATTTGGATAATAAATTGGTTTTCCCAGTGTGACAAGAATAGAAAAATGGAAACACTAAAGGAACAATTTATATATAGGATCAGGTCAGGTGAGAAACTTGTTTGGGCTGGCCAAAATTGTGGGGTGATGCTTGAGATGTTATATTTCAAATAAAGTGACTGGAGATAGGAGAAATGGAATCACTAGCAGAACACTCTGTAATATGCACTATTCATGTCTCTTTTTTTTTCCTAAAAAAGGTGAAAGGAGATTTCAACCTTCATTGCTCAGATACCACGTTGAATACTGTGATATTGGGAGGCTAGCTGGTGGCCTTAGTAAGTGCCTTCTAGTTACATAAAAAACAATGTAAAAGAAACTATCAATAAAAGAAGATAGTAATAGGTTTTTAATTACTTCTGATGATTTTGAAGGATTACAATACACATTCTTATAAAGAAGTAAAGATAGACTTTATAGTGGGCTAGGGCTAAACTTTGGTTAACTTCTTGGGTTTCCTATACTTAACAAATAATAGTCGAGGGTGAGAGGTGGTCAAGTGTTTGGTGCACCATACGTTCTCATGCCTCGCCTAGGTTCAACTCCTCTCCTCAAACTCCCCCTCCCCTAGTTCTCGGAGTCTATCCAAAAGGGAAGTTAAAAAATAACAACCTACTCCCTCCATCTTTCTTTTATCTTCCCATTTCCCGTCAAGGAAAAAAAAGTCCGGTTCACATTATCTCTCCTCTGCCTAAATCTCAACCACACAATTTCACTTTTCTTCATAGTTATCATGGCATTGCCTAGGCATCTCGCCTGATCTTGCATACCTTGCCTAGGCGTCGCCTTAGCCTCGCCTTGGCTTGCCTAGTCCGGTACTTTTGTTTTTTACACCAATGCTTTATTCTTTTAAATGTTTTAGACATCCGGCTCCAGTGTTTAGTTTTTTTACTGCTTTATAAATTCGTTCATTCGCAATTTAATGTTTTTTCTACTTTATCTTCCTAATTAATACTTGGTTCCTAGTTTTTTAAATTTTAAATGATTATTTTATTACCAACTTAAGTCGGCAATGCTTTTTTTCAACTTTGTTTTTTTAGGAAAGTACTTAAAAAAGTAACGTTGGTAGTTAAACTTTGATGTATTAGAAAAATTTAAACTTTACCAACTACAATATATAATTAGATATAATTATATTCTTGTTTTTAATGTATAGCAATTCTCCTATGTTATGTGTCGCCTAGGCGGTCGCCTAGTCGAATAAGCGTCCTGGCAGTATCTCAGCACCACGCCCTAACTTGGCGCCGTGATAACTATGCTTTTTAAAATCTTTGTACAAAAAGCAAAGGAGAATACACACACGTGTGTGTATCGGAACCATAATCATCAAATTCAAGATTACTGGTTATGATCATTCTAGCATTAATACAATGTATGCATTAAAATAATTTAGTCATCGAACGAAAAGTTGAGAATTCATTCACGGAGTTGTATCCATTAAAAATTTTAAACCTCCTACACGCACAACTTTCAGTCAGTATGACTAGCTCTATGCATGTTTGGAAGAAGTCAAATGACATCATGTTATATTTATAACTTTGGAAATCCATGGTGTAGGTCATGTATTTTTAAAAATTATTTATATACATGTGTTGGGACGGTGGATCCATGGATGTTCCCATTGAGTAGTTCACTTTGTGTGCAAGAGTTCATGCAGTTGCATTATGCATGCAAAAGTTCATGCAGTGGCACTGTAGCGCTAATGGGAAGCATCACTGAGATTATTTACGGCCAATTAGTGTTTTGCTGCTTCTCTCTGTTGATGCTCTTGTTTTACTAATATCTGGTGATAGGTTTCTTTGCTCTTTCATGACCACCCTGATTTGCTTGGGGAGTTCACAAATTTTTTACCAAATGCATCGTCCAGAGCTTTGGTTGATAGAACTCATATCTTACATAATGATGAGAAAGTACCTCCTGTGATCATGGGAAGTACCACTGAAAAGGTAGATACTTACCGACAATTGGATACATTATGATTTGTTTGGGGTAATAACATTATTTGGCTTGCTGTTCCAGAAGGCCACTGGTTTGCATGCAGAAAATGGCAACCATCAGAATTGGCCTTCTCCAGAACAGTGCAAACAGGAAAAAAGAGAAAGGGATTTTGACGAAAAGGATTTTGACAAGACATCTGTATATAGAGAAGATGCCATTGCAAGTCATTTTAACCACGGTGTGAATGTCTGTTAAGACAACAGTCTTATCTTACTAATGCTCTTATTGTATTAAATAATTTAAGAAGTTATTTGATCATTTGCAAGGCTTTAATAAATTTAAGACTTGTCAATAATTTTTCCACTACACTTTTGCTTTACATGTGGGCAGGTGTGCTCGATCAACATCTAACGTTGTTTGAAAAAATTAAGGAAAAACTGCAGAATTCTGATTATTACCAACAACTTTTGAGGTGTCTTCACACATATTCGGTAGAAACAATCACAAAATTACAGTTGCAATCCCTGGTATTATCTTTATTGCCTTTCATTGTTTTGGTGGATACACAATCATGATATCTCATTTTATCATTCAAGTTCTGTTGAAGCCTTAGCTATGTCATTTGCCTTGAAGTAGTGGAATGTACTTGTGGATCATGCATAGACCATCTGAAAATAACTTGAGCGTTTGGTGATTAATAGTAGTATTTTCTAACTTAGACAGTTCAATGTAATTTCATTTTGGCAAATAATAAAAATGATGAGTGCATGCCATTCAAGTAACCCTTTGAAAACTTGATGTTTGTTTCACACACACACATTAGGGAAAAGTGAATTGTGTTGTTGATATTAAATTTAAAAAGTATAAATTGATTTGAGCCACATAAGTCATAATAAGTATGATACAAATTATCTTTGGATGGAGCAAATTAGAAGAGCAAGTCAAACATAGTGTGAGAGAGGGAGTATCTTTGAACTGTATTGTAAAAAAGTAGCCATGGTGGTGGTGTAAAATAGTAGGTCTCCACATCAAGTTTGTGAAGAATGGTGGGCTGTTAGAATTTGTTGGGGCATCATATGGTGCCATGGTGGGAATGTGGGATTTGCTCATTCGTCATAATCCGACATTCGCCATGGTTGTTAAGTCGACAAGTCGAGTCAAGTCGGTGAAGAGGAGACTAGTGGACTAGTCCACTAGTCGGCCTACTAGTTGATAAATCACAATTAGTGTTGAAATTTTTAACATTATATATATCTTCATTGACCCAAGATAACTATAAATATTTATATGACAAAATATCATTACCAAAACAAAATTATGTTTAAAGGTAGCACATAAAGTCACATAACGAAGGGTACTAAGAAACATATATCCTTCAATCTTCAAAAAACACACCACCAAAGATAATAAGCACAAAAAGAAGTCAAAGAACATATTAAAATATTTAATTCCATGTTTTGAGTTATCAAATATCATCATCCAACGTTATGCCACCATGACGATTTTCTTCCATTGTGGAAGATGGCGATGAAAGAGACATCCAGATTTGAGAAGGGTTAAAGTCGATTGCACAATTGTGCTGTGAACCGAGGGGGGCGATATTTTATGGAGTATTTTTTAAAATTTAATGAAATTTGGGTAGGGTCGGGTTGGGTCAAATTGGGTAGGTTTTTGCCAGCGACTAATCGTCGTTTTGCTCACCCAGACGACTACTCTACCCAAGTCGCTAGTCGAGATGCAAGTCTCCACCCAGAAAACAGACAGACGACTAGTCGGAAGTCGCCGACTAGTCGACGGCCTGATAACAATGACATCAGCCATAAAAAACATTATTTTTTTTAGTAAAACATTTTTTATGTGTAAGATTGTATCTCAGATTCTCAGTTAGGCTTTTGTTTGAAACCTGCCCATGTTCTGTCCACCCGTGCTGCCACGCTCGTTCGTCCTGAATCTGACCATCTGTCTACACTATGATATGGAACCCACTCATCAGGCACCAATATCAACTACGCTGCATGTTTCATGGAGTAAAGCTCAAGTTACACAAGTTTTGCTCGTGATTCCTACTGAATTTAGGTTTTGTATTTTAGTAAGTCACACTTTCCATTTTTTCATCATCCGTGCACTTTGTCAATAACTAAACTTTGAAAAAAAGTACTTCATTCTCTTAAATGAGATTGACAACACCGTATCTTTTACCATTGTGATTAGACCACGTGACCCCCAAAGATGTTCAAAAATCAGCATCTTGCGCTCATCAAATACACTTCAAATTCTCACTTCTGTTGAGTATCCAATGCCTCCTTTCAGAGTCTCATGATGACCCATGAGCATTGAAAGTGGCATTGACTAACTACTACTTCACTATTAAAAGAAGTGCAAACAGTTTAAAGATCCATTTTGTTTTATTCAATCTTGCCCCAAAGCCAATTATTATCAAATTTTAAAATTTTGTGATTTGGAGTAGAAATCATTTGTAAAGGAAAAAATTTGGCTAATAATTGTTTAATGACTTCAATCTTATTTGTATATAATATAACAACAAACAACAACAACCCACTTGAATCCCACTACAGTAGGGTCTGGGGAGGGTGTGTGTACGCAGACCTTGCCCCTACTCGGAAGCAGGGAGACTGTTCCCAAGAGACCCCCGGCTCAACCTGCACAAAAAATATGGTAGGGAACACAGTATAACACGGATAAAGCACCAAGTACAATGAAATGAAAGTTCTGCAAACAATAGTAGAAGATTCCAATCAAACACAACACACTACAAAAAATCTCTGTAGCACCGAGCTCCTATCCAGCTACTCTAATCCTAGTCCTCCAAAGGTTCCTATCTAAAGCCATATCCTCGGTCAGGGTGAGAAGTCCTAAATCCGGCCTAATCACCTCCTTCCAATTCTTCCTAGGTCTACCCCTTCCCCTACTTCCCCCGATAACCGTAATCCTCTCGCATCTCCGTACAGGGGCGTCAGCATCCCGCCGTCTCACATGACCAAACCATCTCAACCTCGCTTCCCGTAACTTATCTTCCACCGGCGCCATTCCCACACATCCATCGTAACATCCGCATCTCCGCCGCCTGCAGACGATGCACATGAGTCTTCTTAACCGCCCAACACTCTGCCCCATATAACATAGAAGGTCTGACTACGGATCGATAGAACATACCTTTCATTCTGGGCGAAATCTTTGGGTCACACCATCCCTGAAGCCAATCGCCATTTGGCCCAAGCCACTCTAACACGATGACCAACATCCCCGTCTAACTCCCCATCAGCCTGGATTACTGAGCCAAGATATCGGAACCTGTCTACCTTAGGTACTATGTGAGAGTCAATCCTAACTTCCACTTCTGATTCTGTTTCCCAGTTGCTGAAACGACATTCCATGTATTCAGTCTTGTTCCTACTTATTCTGAATTCTTTAGTCTCAAGGGCAAGGCACCATAGTTCCAACTTAGCATTTAGTCCCTCACGTGTGTCATCGATAAACACAATATCATCTGCGAAAAGCATGCACCATGGGACCCCTTCTTGAACACCTTGAGTTAGGACGTCCATCACCAAGGCGAACAAAAAAGGACTAAGGGCAGACCCCTGGTGCAACCCCATCCCTACCGAGAATGACTCAGAGTCGCCCCCGGAGGTCCTTACCCTAGTCATAGCCCCATCGTACATATCCTTGATCACGCGAGTGTACGCGATGGGAACTCCTCTCGTCTCAAGGCACCTCCATAAGACCTCCCTTGGCACCCTATCGTACGCCTTCTCAAGATCAATAAACACCATATGAAGGTCCTTCTTCCTAGCCCTATACTCTTCCATTAACCTCCTCACGAGGTGAATGGCCTCTGTAGTCGATCTGCCAGGCATGAAACCAAACTGGTTCTTAGAGATGCATACCCCTTTCCGCACCGTATACTCAATGACTCGCTCCCAAACCTTCATGGTGTGGCTAAGCAGTTTGATGCGTCTGTAATTCTCGTAGCTCTGAATGTCATCTTTGCCTTTAAACAGGGAGACCAAGAGACTCTCCCTCCACTCATCAGGCATCCTTGCTGTCCGGAAGATAACATTGAAGAGTTTGGTTAATCAAACCCACGCAACACAACCCGGATGCTTCCAAAACTCCACCGAAATCTCATATGGTCCCAAAGCTCTCCTACTACGCATCCCGCGGAGAGCCCGAACCACCTCTTCCAGGCAACAACAAAAACAACAACAACAACCCAGTTAAATCCCACAAGAGTAGGGTCTGGGGAGGGTGTGTGTACGCAGACCTTACCCTTACTCGAAAGTAGAGAGGCTGTTTCCAAAGAGACCCCCGGCTCAACGTCGAAAGTTGCATTGCTTGACTAACTGCTACTTCATTAATTAAAGAAGCGCAGACAGTTTAAAGATCCATTTTGATTTATTCCATCACACCCCAAAGCCAAAAAATGGTGAAATTTTGGCTCCATCGGAGATGATGGAAAAACAACAACAACAACAACAACAACCCAGTTAAATCCCACAAGAGTAGGGTTTGGGGAGGGTGTGTGTACGCAGACCTTACCCCTACTCGAAAGTAGAGAGGCTGTTTCCAGGCAAATGCGCCGATAATACACACGAGACGACCCAGACTGCTCCAGCTCATCAAGAACTAGCCTCTGCTCTCCTCCTGCGTTTAAGAGTTCACAAAAGTACTCCCCCAGCGCTTAGCCACCTTGGCAGTCTCAACTAACACTCTACCATCACTGCCCTTCACGCATCTCACGTGGTCCAGATCTCGGGCCTTCCTCTCACGCACCTTAGCAAGCCGGAACAGTGTATTAACACCGCCTTTCTCCTCAATATCCTTGTAGAGGCGTTTAAAAGCGGCATTCTTTGCCCTCGTAACCTCTAACTTAGCTTCTTTACGTGCCTTCTTGTACTCCACTCGTAACGCCGCTCTTTCTTCCTCAACATTGCAGCCCATGTACCTCAAATATGCCACCTTCTTAGCTTCCACCTTACTTCGGACTGAATCGCTCCACCACCAATCACCCAAACGCCTACTCCCAGAGCCAGAGCTCACACCTAACACTTCCCTGGCTGTTTCCCTGATGCAGTTAGCAGACTGCGTCCACATATCAGTAGCCTCTCCGGCCGGTTCCCACGCCCCTTTTTCCTGCACTCGCCTGATCAACTCAGAGATATTCTCCCCACTTAGTCTCCTCCACCGGATTTGTGTGTTGCCACTCGAAGCTCTCCTATGTTTCACCCACCTGATCATGACATCCATCACCAAAAGCTTGTGTTGGGTAGTGATGTTTTCACTCGGAATTACTTTAGCATCCTTGCAGAGCACCCGATCACACCTGCGTAGGAGAAGATAGTCGATCTGTGTCGTCCCCACTCCACTAACAAATGTAGCCAAATGATCGTCTCGTTTAGGGAAACAAGAGTTAACAACCACCATATCACTCGCTCTGGCAAACTCCAAGAGTGAAACTCCCGCTGGGTTCCTGCTGCCAAAGCCAAAACCACCATGCACGTCCTCGAAGCCCTCAGCCGAGTCTCCAATATGGCCATTGAAGTCGCCTCCAATGATGACTTTCTCAGTCAGTGGAAAACCAACAACCACCCCATCCAAGGCGTCCCAAAACTCCCTCTTTACTTTGTCTGCCAGCCAACCTGCGAGGTGTAAGCACTCACGACATTGATCGCACACCCACCCAAAACCAACTTGATAAACATCAGACAATCACTAATCCTCTTCACCCCACCACAAACTCTCGCAGCTCCGGCGCCACCAGAATACCGACTCCATTCCTTCCCTAGCTGAACTTGAATACCACAGTTTGAAACCATCAACCTCTCGCACCTTAGTGCCCACCCACT